GGAAATCAGATGGTGGGCTTGTTTTCCACCACCACCAACATAAGTTGGAGGGGGAAATCAGGTGGAGGAGGAGGAGGAGGAGGAGGAGGAGGGGGAGGGCCCCCTACCCCTCCTGCTTATGGTGGTGGTGGTGGAAAACAAGCCCATCAACGGCGCCTGCGGGGTTGACCCTCTTCGTCGCCGTGGTCTCTGCGACCAGTTGCGGACCCTACCCCTGCGGGCACCCTCGGCGCTGGGGCATCCGTCCATGATGCTTCGGCCAGAGTCCGCTGCCTGGACGGGCTTGCCGAGCTCGGCATTCATCAGGGCCCCTTCCCTGGGGACGCAGTGGCTGGACCGTGGTTTCTGTTTCCGTTTCAGTCCGCTTTGGATGACGCTAGATTGCAAACGTATGCCGTTCATGTGGAGTACAAACGGATGCCGGAGGTATTGCGCGATGCTGAAGTTGTTTGGACCGTGGACGTTGCTCGGAGCACGTGCGCCGTCGACGTGGCACTCACGCTGTCGATTCCCACGCTCGTGGACTTCGTCACGAAGGTACGGTCCTTTCACGACGACGTCAATGCTACCATCAATCCGCATGGGTACCACTGAAACGCCTGCAAAGCTGAACATATTGTCAGAATTGCCGGAAAAGATCTGGGGCTTGCACGAAGGCAGCGCATTCGACCCGCGATATCGTGCCCTGCATGTTCGAACGAGCAGCTCAGTATCTCGGACCGCACATCCTATTTGACAATGGTCCCTCGGTCGAGAAGGAGCGCCGCGCTGCGGCGACGAGACAGGCGTACTTCGGGTTGGGCAAGTGATGGTCTCGGTGCCGCAACCCGCGGTGGACATTTGTTTTACTCAAGAGTCTTGTCTACGGTACGGCGCACAGTGCGTCTGTTTGCCTCTTGCTCAATCAGACCGACCGCCAAGTGATTGACAGCACAATCGCCTCGCTGGCACGCAAAATCCGTCATGATGCTGCAAGATCACGGAGCAGGGGGGCGGTGCCAACAGCTGCCGAGCCCAGTTCAACCATGACGTGCTGCGCAGAATGCGGCTCCTGCCTGCGGAGTTGGAGCTGCGTGTTCAACGACTTCGGTGACTAATGCCGATGGTCCGAAGTCCTGCTGACACCGTGTTTATGTTGGTCAGTACGCGGGATGGACACGGCATACATTGGCTGGCACATGTACCCACACCTACGAGTCAATGTATCAGCTGTCATACACGAGACGAAACGCACGGCTCAAGTTCATCTACAAGTAAGCCTCCAGCGAGGCTTCTGCAGGGATGCGTAGGCGAGGGCAACTCACACGGTGCGAGAAGTCACCCCGCTGCCGTTTCCCATCGTATGTCCAGTCTGTCAGGATGACAGTCGCTATTTGGATCAAGACTCGTATTTCTCCCACTTGCAAGCGCTCCTTCCAGAGGGTTTGTTGACATACGCGAAGCCGTTTTAATATTGCAGAGGCATGGGAGCTCTTCCTCGGACAGGACGCGGCCCCGCCGTCCAAGAAGAAGGCCGGATGGGGAAGACGACGAGCTCGCGTTGATGCGCAAGCTCATCGAGGCCATCACGAAGCTTAGGCTGGAGATGAAGAGCGCCAAGGAGCTGAGGGCCTTCATAGGCGTCACCTTCGTCTGCTTCCTGGTTGAGGCCTCCGTCGACCTGGGGATGGTCTGGGCACGGCGATGGCGGTCCCGACTCTAGTGCCGCTCGGCAGCGCTGCTTGCACGGAGCCTTGCAAGAAGGCATTCACGGAGTTTCTCGAGCAATCGGGCCCCTCTTCAGAGGCCTTGCAGTCTGTCGTGCGTTCTGCAGGACGACTAAGGCAAATGACAAGACAACCAACAAATTACATTTCAGGCGGAACGGCCCCGGCCACGATGAGCTCGAAACGCACGTTTGCACGCGATCGCTGCAATCTGCACGGCCAAGCGCATGCAAGGCCAAGTACAGGGCTCCCACGAGAAGGGGGCGCAGGAGCTCCTGACCCAGCTTGGCCTAGACAAGTGACTGCGCCAGTGATTGATCGTAGTGCCCGGGCTGTCGCGGGCGCAATGATCACCGCGTGGTTGAAGTTGTCGTTGCTTCACCCTCGCGTTTTTCGCGCGCCCTCTCTCTGCCTGCTTGCAGCGGTTGCCTTCCCATCTCCTTCCCTTCCCCTTTCCCCCCCTCCCATGGGGGCGCGAAGTTATTTCCGCTGTACGGGGGGTCAATCACGCTTACACATTCCATACAACTTCCATGATTCAATGTGCACGCACACCTCCTCGCAGCGCTCCAGAGTTAACGACCGGCCCGCCGCGCTCGGTGGTCCCGGAAAGCCCGCCGCAACGGCGCGGGTGTTGCGAAGTGCACATAAAGTGATTGTTTGTTTGCAATCGTCAGGTTTGCCTGAGATTCCGCTGTCCTCATCGTAGCTGCAGCAATCGGGATTTCGCCGCGCAGAGGAGCCGAGCCTCCTCCTCCTCCTTTTCCTCCTCGTCGTCGTCATCGTCGTCCTCCTCATTATCCTCTCCTCCTTCTTGTCCTCCTCCTCCTCCTCCTCCTCTTGCCGCCGCCGCCGCGTCGAGGAGCGCGCCCGCGTGTTGGAGCACGAGCGCTTCCGCGAGGACTGCGCCCGGCTGCGGCGGGGCCTGCCGCCGAACGGCGCGCCCGCCGCGCCCCGCCTCGACCACTACTCGTAAAACATAAAGAAAGGGAAGAAGAGGAGGAGGAGGAGGAGGAGGAGGAGGAGGAGGAGGAGGAGGAGGAGAGAAGGAGGAGGAGGAGGAGGAGGCGGAGGAGGAGGAGGAGGAGGAGGAGGAGGAGGAGGAGGGGAGGAGGAGGAGGAGGAGGAGGAGGGAGGAGGAGGAGGAGGAGGAAGAGGAGGAAGAGGAGGAGGAGGAGGAGGAGGAGGAGAAGAACGACGACGACGACGAGGAGGACAAGGAGAAGGATGACGAAGAGGACCCAGGAGTAGGAGCAGGAGGAGGAGACGCTATGCGGCGGCTGAGCGGGCGCGCCGCGGCGACGGTGACGGTGATGGCGGCCGTGGGCGTGCCGCGAGACGGCGAGGACGGCGGCGGCGGCAGCTGCTGAGCGGCGCGCCGCCGGCTTTCGGCATCCCGTGCCGAGAGCCAGCGGGCGCGGGGGGAGCGAGAGTTAGGCGGCGTCGAGCGCACAGCGCGACGGCGACGACGGCGACGACGGCGGCGGTGGCGACTGAGCGGCGCGTCGCCGACACCCGGCAGCCCGTGCTGCAAGCGCCAGGAGGGGGCACAGAGGGGCGAGAGGGGAGCGAGAGGCAGGCGGCGTCGAGCGCACAGCGCGGGAGGCCAGGGCCGGCGGGGCGGGTCGGCGGGAAGGGGCAGAAAGCGAACGGGCGGCGGCGGCGGGACGGCCGCGGGAGTGGCGGTCGGGCGCTCGGGCGGGGGCGCGACGCTGACCATGGCGGCTGTGGCGTTGTCCCGGATTTCTGACGAGCCGATTGTTTCAATCCAGGCATCCTTCCTCGATCTCGGCCTCCTCGATTTCAGCATCCGGGGCCCGCTTTTGGCCCCAGGCCATTGATGGGCCTGTTTTCACCACCACCATAAGTTGGAGGGGGAGGGGGTCCTCCTCCTCCTCCTCCTCCGCCTCCTCCTCCTCCTCCTCCTCCTCCTCCTCGTAGTCCTCCTCCTCCTCGTCCTCCTCCTCCTCCTCTTCCTCCTCCTCCTCCTCCTCCTCCTCCTCCTCTTCCCTTTCTTTATGTGTTACGAGTAGTGGTCGAGGCGGGGCGCGGCGTGTGGTGGTGGTGGTGGTGGTGGTGGTGGTGGTGGTGGTGGTGGTGGTGGTGGTGGTGGGAAACAGGCCCATCAGCCATGGAACACGGATGCCCGGCGAGAAACGCAGCCTGCTGGCAAGGGGCCAGGGCCCCTGGGGCCGCGCATGGAGCAAAACAGATGATCGGAGGATGGCGGGGACGGCTGCGGCGGCGGCGCTGCGTCGCTGTCGTGGCGTGATCGCCGGGCGGGCGGAGAGGGGGCGAGAAGCAGGGAGGGGAGGAACTGCGGTGGCGGCGCTTTCGTGTCGAGGGCCAGTTGGTAGCCAAACGAGTAGCGCAGGGCGCGGCCCTCCCCTCTCATGCTGATGTCCATATGTGTGTGGTGTGTGTGTGTCTGTCTGTCTGTCTGTCTGTCTGTCTGTCTGTCTGTCTGTCTGTCTGTCTGTCTGTCTGTCTGTCTGTCTGTCTGTCTGTCTGTCTGTCTGTCTGTCTGTCTGTCTGTCTGTCTGTCTGTCTGTCTGTCTGTCTGTCTGTCTGTCTGTCTGTCTGTCTGTCTGTCTGTCTGTCTGTCTGTCTGTCTGTCTGTCTGTCTGTCTGTGCGTGCGTGCGTGCGTGCGTGCGTGCGTGCGTGCGTGCGTGCTTGCGTGCGTGCGTGCATGTGTGTATATGTGTGAGTGTGTGTGTGTGAGTGAGTGAGTGTGTGTGTGTGTTGTGTGTTTTGTGTGTTTTGTGTGTGTGTGTGTGGGTGCCAGTGTTTGTGCGTGTCTTTGTGTGTGTGTGTGAGGATGTGCGTGTGTGAATGTGTGTGTATGTGTTTGTGTGTGTGGTTGTGTGTTTGTGTGTGTGTGTGTGTTGTGCCTGTGTGTGGAACGATCTGCGGAAGCGGGAGCCAAATGATCCCAGTGCCCCCCCGCGCGACCACGCCTGCCGAGGCCGCGCGCGGAGCTGCCGATGGGGCCCGGCCCGCGTGCCAACTTTGGGTGCGGGTGCCGCGGTGCGAAGTTGCCACATGGTGCCCCTTCTCCTGCTCCTCCCCCTGCTTCTCCCCTCCTCCTCCTCCTCCTCCTCCTCCTCCTCCTCCTTCTCCCCCTCCTCCTCCTCCTCCTCCTTCTCCTCTCCTCCCCCTCCTTTCCCCTCCCTCCTCCTCCTCCTCCTCCTCCTCCTCCTCCTCACTCCTCCTCCCCCTTCTCTCCTCCTCCTCCTCCTCCTCCTCCTCCTCCTCCTCCTCCTCCTCCTCCGCCTCCTCCACCTCCTCCAGGGCGCGGTGCGCGTGAGGGGTGTGCGGAAGTGGTCGGGGGTTGATGTGCGAACTTCGTCTCGGGGGCTTTGGGCGGTTCTCCCTGTGGGGCGCGTGCCGATGTGGGCGGGAGGGGCGCTCTGCGGACCCTGTCTTTGTGGCCGTCTGTGGAGGTCCCTGTGGGCACGGTCCGTGTGAGTGGTGCGCCGCATTATGTGGGGGTGGTGGCTTGCGGGGAACGATCCGTCTGAGAGGTGTGGCGAGGTGAGCGGGGCGACGCTACGAGAAGCTTCTCCCTGGTGCCGTACATGCAGTTACCTGCTGGGGACGATCTGGTACGCGTGAGGGGTCTGCCGCTGTGCGAGTCCTGGCACATGTTGCAGGCGCTTCGACGGTGGATGCCGAAGTTCAGCGCGTCGACCGCCTCGCGCGTAGACGGTCGGCAATCTTGGCTTAGCGTGTCGCTCCGCCGGTCGCCTCATCACGTCTCGGCGCGCCACGCTAGTCACGCCCACGCTCCCAAACCGTCAACGTTCCGAGCCTTTTCCTGCCTCCCGCCCCTGCGAGCGGAGCAACACGCGATCTTTTCGCAGGGCATAGCATATATCGCCGTGGCCGCCGCCGTGATACGCGAAGCAAAGGTTCCTGACTAAGGGGTAGCGACACAGGGCAAAGCATGGTCTGCATCTTATGTGAGACGTCGGGATCCAGCAATCGGCGGCGAGCCCGGGAGGAAGTGAGAGTGGGCGGGCCTTGTCAGAGGGCTCGGAAGTCCCCCGGCCTTACGAGAAGTTTTCTAAGCCTTCCCCGCAGACGCAGAAAACGTCTCAGAAGGCGCGGGGGGTTCTGAGAAGCCCCGCCGCCTTCTGAGAAGGGAAGCAAGGCGACGATGTCCGTGTCGTAATTCTGGTCCCTCTCCGCCCGCTTGCGGCTGGTAGAAACATTGTCTGCGTCTTCCGCGTCTCTGCTGCTGGTGTCAGAGAAGAGAGCGTTCGTTTGTTTGGAGCCTTTCCGGGCCGTCGCCACCTGACGGATACCGTCATTGACCGAGCCGGGTTCTCGGTTGGGGTCGTTCGGCATCGAGTGGGCGCGGTTGCCTCACAACCGCTCCCAAGGCCCTCGAACCAGAACGGCGCTTGAGGAGGGAGGAGGCACCCAGTCGACTAGACGTAAGAGTGACCTTTCGCCGGAGTGACCTGGAGTGCGGGCAAAGATGGGCCCCCAGACGGCGGATCGCGAAGCGGTAGCGGCGGCCAGCGCGCCTGGATTCGGCCTCCCCGCGGCCCCCCCCCAAAGCCGCGCACCAAAGGCCACTCTTGCCCAGGGTCGCTCCTGCGTATAGCCGGCCCAGACCTCCGACGGTGCGCGGCCCCCGGGGCCCCGACCCTCCCCTCGGGGTCGCTGCTCTCCCCGGATCCGTTCCTGGTGGACCCCGGGCCCGAGCACGGGCCCCAGAGGCCCCCGAAGCGAGGGACACAAAAGTGGCCGATGGAAGCAAGCCTGTCGCCGCAGAGCTGGGGAGGGAGGAGCCCCTTCGGCGGCCGAGTGGGGTTCAGTCCCCTCGACCCTGTCGGGACTGAGCCCGATCGGCTGCCCATTCGGCGGCCGAGCGGGCGCAGATGCCGAACGGGCTCCGCAGGGATCCGCGGGATCCTCTCCCCCCCGCAGATCTGCGACGACACGATTGCTTCCATCGGGGAGTTGCTTCCTCAGTGTGGGCCTCTGGAGACCCTTGCCGGCTGCCCATTCGGCGGCCGAGAGTTTTCGGGGGACCCCGAACGGGGTGGTGACCACACCGTGCGGTGAGTCGATGGGGATTCGGGGTCACCGCACGGTTTTGGGACTCGGCCGTTTTCCGAGGATGTCTCCGGCGACAGGGGCCTCCGGGGTCCCAAGAGCGTGCGGTGACGGACCGTGCGGTGAGGCCTCGGGGGATTCCGAGGTCACCGCACGCTCTGTCACCGCACCGCTTCGGGACTCCAGAAGTTTCTGCTCCGTGCCGGCTCTTGCAGGAGCAGCAGGAGGAGGTGGCAGGAGGGGGAGGAGGCAGGAGGAAGAGGAGGCAGGAGGAGGAGGAGGCAGGAGGAGGAGGCAGGAGGAGGAGGCAGGAGGAGGAGGAGGCAGGAGGAGGAGGGCCCCTGGAGGAGCGAGGCGACCGCCCGCGCGCGTGCGGCGGGCAGGCGGCGCCCCAGCAGCCGCGGCGGCGGTGGCGGCCTCCGCTGCCGCGCGCGGCGCCTGTGTGGCCGGCGCGCCGCGAGCGGCGCAGGAGCGGTGGGTTCCAGCAGTGGCGAAGCGTCTTGCCTCGCCTCCTCGCCCTACCAAGCAATGTTCTACGAACCTTTTGGGGCTTCCACGAAATGGTTCGAAGACCACGAACCCTACCAAACAATGTTCGAAGACCACGAGATGTACTTAGAATAGTTCTGGCTGGGGCTGTCTTGTTCTCACACATCGGGCTTCTGTTCTCAGAACATTGTTTTTGCTCTTGGAACATGTTTGGGTTCTAAGAACATTTCGTGGTAGGACTATAGAGATGCCTGGACGGTCGGTCCCTGCTGCAAGTCGGTGCTCCGGAGAACAAATGCGGCCGGACCGAAGTGCAAGGTCGAGGTCGGTTCGGGGAGGGTACCTTGATGCTGCTTTCTGTCTGTCGCATGTTCTTGTGCAATATTGGGGGAGGGTACCCTCGATTGTATCCTTCTGTTTGGCCGGCGGGGGTTCTCTCGTTTCGAGGGGTGCTCTTCTGTCTTGGGCCCAGCCGTGCAGTCCAAACTCACAGTGAGGACGCACGGATCTCCTTAGGGTTAAGTCGTGCCTGTCCCTCTATTGGGGGAAGATTCAAAAATAGTAGCAAACAATAGCCTGGGCACGATGTTTAAAATATAGTTGAGCATTGTTTGAGTATGTTTTGGGTTATTTGTCGTCCAAAATCCCCCTGTAGGAGGACAGGCCCGACTTACCCTTGGGGTACCCTTGAGCCCCTGCCTCTGCGACCCGTCCCTCGCGGTTCTCACTGGCCAGCCCTTCAGGGTGATGGCGGTCCGCTGCCCAAAGAGTGCCAATTTCGGCGTCCAAGGCCCTTGCGTCCTCACTGCCCGTCCTTGCTATAGATTTCGACTGTGACCAAGAAACAGAAGATGTGCTGGCCCAGCAGGCAAAAGCCGTGCTGGAAGGTCTCTGGTGAGAGGCTCCGAGCGTTTGTAGGTTGCTGGGTCGCACACGCGGGGCGGCCTCTGGAGGTCCGCGGGCGACAAATGCCCTGGCCCAAGAGGGAACCCGAGTTGCAATTTCGATAGTAAATCGACTAGACGTAAGAGTGACCTTTCGCCGGAGTGACCTTTGGTGCGGGCACAATGGGGTCTCCCGATCGCCGAACGCGAGGCGGCAGTGGCGCCTTGCGCGCCTGTGTTTGGTCCCCCCGCGGCCCCCCAAAAAGCCGCGCACCAAAGGTCACTCTTACCCAGGGTCACTCTTGCGTGTAGCCGAGTCTAGGCCTCCAAGAATAGCAGAGTTCCTCAGCGCTCTTGGTTGGAGTTGTTATAAGTCAACACCTGCTGAAGCCAGACATTCAATATGAGATTCTCTGCAATTCTGTCTGGTCGTTCTGCGGGGGCGATCTCCACACGCTGAAGATGGTGGCCACGGAACTGTTGCCAGGCGGGGAGGTGTGAGGTTGGGCGGCGGGGCGGAAGGGAAGTGAGTAGTGTAGCAGCTGTAACACCCAAGCGGCGCGTTTAACAGGGGTGTGAAAGGAAAGGAAACGAGTTGCGATTTCGATTGTCCAGGCCTCCCAGATGGGGTCGGGATGGGGTCGGAGGATTGCGCCGCATCGCCGATGCAGCGCCGATGCGGTTCGACTGGCTTTCTCCACGCCCACGCCGCCGATGCAGCGCCGACGTCGCCGACGCGTCGGCGATGCGGCGGCGATGCGGCGCGATCCTGCGACCCCATGGGGCCCCTGCGATTGGACACGCCTCGAGCGGGGCGCAGCAGCAAAGGAGGGCCACGCCACGAGGATGACCCTCCCTGGCGCCTCGTGATGTGGCGTCGGCCTCTTCTCCAGCTCCCAAACTGGAGCGGAGTCTGGGCCGGAGGAGGAGGAGGAGGAGGAGGAGGAGGAGGAGGAGGAGGAAGAGGAGGCGCGCCTCCAAGGAGGACGTATGGGGTCTGGGCCCTCGGGCCTCGGCGTCGTGGACAGGTCTCTCGACCAACGTCTCGGGGCCTCGGGCCCCGGGAGGCCTCCGAGCGATCCGCTTCGATGGGGCCCTCGCAGGGCGACGGCATCGAGGCTCCAGCGGTGACCTCCGGAGTGGGCGGAGGGCGAGGGCGAGGGGAGAAAGCGATCTTTCGTAGGGGGGGGCGACGCAGGCACAGCGGCACAGACGACCAGGAACGGACTTCATTCCTACCATCTCCCCTCGCATTCCTCCTCGTCCCCCCTGCTCGTCCTCCTCTTTCTCGTCCTGCCCATTCTCTCCTTTTTTTTTAATGTTCGTCATAGCATCACACCTCCTGCTTCCATTTTCCTGTGTATCGGAGGAAAGGCAGGCAATGCCTCACCGACCGTTCGTTCCTCATCCGTCTCCCCTTGGTCCCCCTCCTGTGTACCCCTCCTGTGTACCCCTCGCTACCGCTCCGTGGCGCGCGGCATGAGATCTCGAAAGAATGGTCGCTCCAGGACGCGGCGAACTCCCTCGAGGGCTCCACGTCGCGGCCGGGCACTGCCAGAAGCCTTGGCAGGGCCGTTGGCCATGGCCTGCGAGACGCCGAGCGCCGCAAGCTGGACGAGGACAGCGCTGCTGTGGTGCCCGCTGCCCGTGCTGCCTCCGATCTGCTGGTGGTTGCTGCCCGTGCTGCCTCCGATTGGGTACGCCCACGGCCGACGGATCTGAAGCATCGAGCGCGAGCGAGACGGGAGAAGCCTCTCGGGACCTCCCGAGACCTCTGGTGGGCCTCTCGACCCCATCCCTTGGACCCACTGTTTTCATCGTGAGTCCTTTTCTGGTGGCTTGGGTCCAGAACGAGAATAGTATCGCACCTCGTGCATGTGCTGCTCGTTTCCTGTACGAGGACGGTAGCCACCCCAGCCGTTCCCGCGAGACCATCCCATCGAGGGTAAGGTGTCCAACCCGCCGGTTGGCTGGATTTGTGTTCAGAACCCTTGCGGACCATACCCTTACTGTTCCAACCAGCGCTGGGGTATCCCGGTATGTATTTATTTGGCTGCAGACGTCCGTCAATTTCTGAGCCCTGGTCGATCCCTCAGAAACGTGACCTGCAGGGGTAGACGCTGACAGAAGAATCACTTTGGGCTCGGGAGGACGAGGAGGAGGAGGAGGAGGAGGAGGAGGAGGATGAGGAAGAAGAGGACGAGGAAAAGGAAAAGAAGACGGAGGGAGACGAGTCCCGTAGCCACTTTGGCGCCAGTCCGTAGCGGTTCGGTTCAGGATCTGACCTTTTTTTCTGGCGTTGGGGAGCAGACGGCCCCCGACAGTCTCCCAGCATCCCTCGTCTGCGAGGTCAGACGAGGTTTTTTCCCTATGTGCGTGAGCTCCTGCAGGAGAAACTTCCATCCCCTCTGCTGGGCCAGCAGGCCAGATGGATTCTTGAGCTCGGCCGCGTACCAAGCAGTGTGCGCATCGTGCGCATCGTTGCAACTATGCGTGGCGCACGTCGTGTCGCATGTGCGGCCAAACTCCGAAGAAGCGTCTCACCGCCGTGCCCCCGCCGCCTCGTGGCAGTATGGCTCGACCGCCGCGTATAACCGAGTAACGCTTCCACGGCCCCGCCAACCCTTCCAACTCGGAGGTCGAGATGCACGCCGCCATGCCAGCCGCTTGTTTCGACGCCATCAGTGGCGGCTGGAACCCGAGGGTGGCGGGGCGTGTGCGTGCGGCACGCGCCCCGCAGCAAGGCGAGCCTTGCGCCAGTGCCCAGCAGGCGAGGACACAGCAGGACTTGCACCAGCAGGGGCTCGAGAAGGCGCAGTCCAAGTATGAGCGGGCCAAAAACGCCCTCGCGCAGTCCATGCAGGCCGCAGCCCAGGCCAAGGCCGACCTCGCCGAGGCTCATGCCGCCGCCGATGTTGCGGCCGCCAAGGCAGTTCGGGCGTTCAGCAATCTCGCTCCTGCCACATTCATACGATAAGCCGGTTTTCAATATCTGCGCCAGTGGCTCTCGCAACCAGCCAAAGTCTGCGACCAAGCCGCCGAGGAGAAATTCACGAAAATGCTGCAGTTGGAGGCCATGGCTGAAGAACGGGGCTATGTTGATCCTCCTCTTGCTGATGCCCTTGCAGCCGCCCTTGCCCCTGCTGCTGATGACGGTGCATGCGGGGCAGAGCCCCAGGCGCCCAAGGAGGCGTCGAGCATGTCGCCCCTCTCGACTTGGAGCTTGACAGCCGTCTTGGCGACACTCCACTTCATCTCAGATGGAGCAACACGGCATCAAGCATGAATTGGCCAGTAGTTTGCTCGTTGACGCCGAGAGTGGATCGCCATGAAGGCGCGACCCAGCGATGCTTCTCCAGCTTCCGGCTCGCCGTCTGGTCAGTTTCTCTGTCGCCCCGGCTAATGACGCGGGCCTGGCTGGGTTGGATGTGCTAGTCGCTGATCCAGGCGCGTGCCAGGCCCAACCAGTGCGCGCACGGGAACACAATCAGTTGATCACGGCCCCGCCTGAACACCGATTGCGCGCAAGTGGTTGGCATGCGCGCGCTGGGGGTGTCGCACCTTCTGCTTCTTCTTCTTCTTCGTCTACGAAATGCACCACGGGTTGAGTTGCCATGATGGCTGCGGCCCGCGGCGTGAGTGAGCACGAGCTTGTCTCTGCAAATGTCGCTCCTCGACGCGTGGTCGCCCTGCATTGCGGTGGTCTCTGCGTTTGTGGATTTGTTGGTATTGGCGCCAACTTGCATCTAAGCGTTACATTTGCGGCAGCGAACTTGTCCGTCTTGCGCAAGATTCGGCATCTCATCGCAGAACTCAATATCCCCTTCGTAACTCAAGATGGCTGGAATACGCCACCATCGACGCTGCGCGACCCCAGTGCGTAGACAATTTGGACACAGCCGTCCTGGCCCCGGCGCTACCCACATGCTCTCACAGCTCTTGCGGAACACGTTTGGATTACTGCTTGCTTCGCCACAGTCTCCAGCAAGGACGCACCGCGCGGTTGCTGCCCGAAGCGGCCAGGGAGCCACGCAAACCTGTTCTCTTGCAGCGGCGCACCATAGTCGACCATCCCATGGCGCTGCTTGAATCGCTTTCCATGTGTCAGATCGCAAGGATGTGAGAGGCGCGGCTGGCGCGGCCTGCGGCAGAAGACGCAAGAAGCGGCACCTCGCCAATGGGAGGCGGCACAGCACATGCGGGCCGATTACGTGCGGCTGGTCAGGAAGCAGATCTTGGGCGTGTACCTGATCGGGCCCTGCCAAGCTCGTGCACATTTGGGTCGTGACCTTGCCGTCCGCCTCGACCGCGTTCGTGTCCGCGTTCCTCGTTGGCTTCCACTTCCTCGTCTGAGAGCTCTCGCCGTTGGGTGGAGCGCGTAGCCTACGCCATGCGTCCGGTTAGTTGTTTGGCACTCGCCTCGGCAGCGTCAGCGTGCCCGTGCCCGGACAAAAAGTGTCCACACCCAGGGCGGGAAGACACTGCGACGTGATAGCAACCGCAACAGCATGATGCACTTGCCTCGCACCCCTCCCCCCGAAAAAACCCAAAGTTGAAGTGTCCACATTTTGTCCCTGGCGCGCGGCCTGCCGCCTAACCCCGCCAACTTTGAGTTGGGGGAAAAGGGGGTATACATATTCGTTCGACGTGATTTGACGACGGGTTGTCTTGGTGCGACAAGTGTGGACACTTTTTGTCCGCCCACCGTGATTCTTATGCTTCTGATTGGTGCTGCAATAAATGTAAATGCGTCTCGCGCGAAAGCCCGAGCACGGACAGAGAGGGGAGGAGAGGTGCGGAGGAGGTGCGTCGTGGTCGTCGTTGTCGTCGTCGTCGTCGTCGTCGTCCGCTTCTTCGTCGTCGTCGCTGTCGTGGTCGTCGTCATCGCGGTCGTCGTCGTCGTCGTCGTCATCGTGGTCGCCGTGGTCGTCGTCGTCGTCGTCCGCTTCTTCGTTGTCGTCGTGATCGTGGTCGTCGTCGCGGTGGTGGTCGTCGCGGTCGTCGTCGTCGTCGTCGTCGTCGTCGTTGTCGTGGTCGTCGTGGTCGTCGTGGTCGTCGTGGTCGTCGTTGTCGTCGTCGTCGGTTCCGCTTCTTCGTCGTCGTCGCTGTCGGATAGAACTGGATAGAACTGATAGAACTGGTCATGGAACTGGTCCATTGAAAATAGGGTCCGGCCTAGCACTGGTCGGTTCAATTAAAGAAATTTTTTATATTAAAAATATCAATGCTTCTTCTTCTAAATGTGACCAGTTCTAGGCCGGATCCTATCTTTAATGGACCAGTGCTATGACCAGTTCTATGACCAGTTCTACCCAGTTATACCAGTTCCGCGCCGTCGGAGACGACGGCGGGGGGAAACGCGCCATGTAGGTTGTCCCGTGGTTGTCCCGTGGGTAGTCCCACAGTTGTCCCAGGGACTGCCCCGTGGGTTGGCCCGTGGTGGTCCCGCGGGTTGTCCCATGGGTTGTCCCGCGGTGGTCCTGCGGGTGTCCCGTGGTTCCGTATACGCGCGCATCGTCATCTAATTGCGTGTCGTGCTGGACGCATAAGCACGCACCAACACACACACAGACACACACACACACACACTGCAATGCACGCACACATGTAAGCACGATAACACCATGAAACCACCAAACACATCTAATCCGGACGTGGTTCTTATGCTTCTGATTGGTGCTACAATAAATGTAAATGCGTCTCGCGCGAAAGCCCGAGCACGGACAGAGAGGGGAGGGGAGGTGCGGAGGAGGTGCGTCGTGGTCGTCGTTGTCGTCGTCGTCGTCGTCGTCGTCGTCCGCTTCTTCGTCGTCGTCGTTGTCGTGGTTGTCGTCACCGCGGTCGTCGTCGTCGTCGTCGTCGTCGTGGTCGTCGTGGTTGTTGTCGTCGTCGTCGTCGTCCGCTTCTTCGTTGTCGTCGTGATCGTGGTCGTCGTCGCGGTGGTCGTCGTCGTCGTCGTCGTCGTCGTCGTTGTCGTGGTCGTCGTGGTCGTCGTGGTCGTCGTGGTCGTCGTTGTCGTCGTCGTCGGTTCCGCTTCTTCGTCGTCGTCGCTGTCGGATAGAACTGGATAGAACTGATAGAACTGGTCATGGAACTGGTCCATTGAAAATAGGGTCCGGCCTAGCACTGGTCGGTTCAATTAAAGAAATTTTTTATATTAAAAATATCAATGCTTCTTCTTCTAAATGTGACCAGTTCTAGGCCGGATCCTATCTTTAATGGACCAGTGCTATGACCAGTTCTATGACCAGTTCTACCCAGTTATACCAGTTCCGCGCCGTCGGAACCGACGGCGGGGGGGAAACGCGTCATGTAGGTTGTCCCGTGGTTGTCCCGTGGGTAGTCCCACAGTTGTCCCAGGGACTGCCCCGTGGGTTGTCCCGTGGTGGTCCCGCGGGTTGTCCCATGGGTTGTCCCGCGGTGGTCCTGCGGGTGTCCCGTGGTTCCGTATACGCGCGCATCGTCATCTAATTGCGTGTCGTGCTGGACGCATAAGCACGCACCAACACACACACAAACACACACACACACATACGCACACACACACACACACACTTCAATGCACGCACACATGTAAGCACGATATCACCATGAAACCACCAAACACATCTAATCCGGACGTGGTTCTTATGCTTCTGATTGGTGCTACAATAAATGTAAATGCGTCTCGCGCGAAAGCCCGAGCACGGACAGAGAGGGGAGGAGAGGTGCGGAGGAGGTGCGTCGTGGTCGTCGTTGTCGTCGTCGTCGTCGTCGTCCGCTTCTTCGTTGTCGTCGCTGTCGTGGTCGTCGTCATCGCGGTCGTCGTCGTCGTCGTCATCGTGGTCGCCGTGGTCGTTGTCGTCGTCGTCGTCCGCTTCTTCGTTGTCGTCGTGATCGTGGTCGTCGTCGCGGTGGTCGTCGTCGCGGTCGTCGTCGTCGTCGTCGTCGTTGTCGTGGTCGTCGTGGTCGTCGTTGTCGTCGTCGTCGTCGGTTCCGCTTCTTCATCGTCGTTGCTGTCGGATAGAACAGGGTAGAACTGATAGAACTGGTCATAGAACTGGTCCATTGAAAATAGGGTCCGGCCTAGAACTGGTCGGTCCAATCAAAAATAGTTTAAAAATATCAATGCTTCTTCTTCTAAATGTGACCAGTTCTAGGCCGGATCCTATCTTTAATGGACCAGTGCTATGGCCAGTTCTATGACCAGTTCTACCCAGTTATACCAGTTCCACGCCGTCGGAACCGACGGCGGGGGGGGAAGCGCGTCATGTAGGTTGTCCCGTGGTTGTCCCGTGGGTAGTCCCACAGTTGTCCCAGGGTCTGCCCCGTGGGTTGTCCCGTGGTGGTCCCGCGGGTTGTCCCATGGGTTGTCCCGCGGTGGTCCTGCGGGTGTCCCGTGGTTCCGTATACGCGCGCATCGTCATCTAATTGCGTGTCGTGCTGGACGCATAAGCACGCACCAACACACACACACACACACACACACACACACACACACGCACACACACACACACATTTAAATGCACGCACACATGTAAGCACGATAACACCATGAAACCACGAAACACATCTCATCCGGACGGTGCCCGGACAAAAAGTGTCCACACCCAGGGCGGGAAGACACTGCGACGTGATAACAACCGCAACAGCATGATGCACTTGCCTCGCACCCCTCCCCCCCAAAACCCAAAGTTGAAGTTTCCACAGTTTGTCCCTGGCGCGCGGCCTGCCGCCGAACCCCGCCAACTTTGAGTTGGGGGAAAGGGGGGTATACATATTCGTTCGACGTGATTTGACGACGGGTTGTCTTGGTGCGACAAGTGTGGACACTTTTTGTCCGCCCACCGGCGCTGCGCCCATGCAATCGTCTGCTGCTCAAGGCTCAGACGCGTTTCGCGCTGGCGTGGACTAGTTCTCAGGGTCGGTTGCTGGATTTAGGACATGCCAGAATCGCGCGCACGAGGTTGCGCGGATTTTTGAACTTGGGGCTCGCGGCCGAGCCGCGCGAGATCATTAAACGGCAGCTAACGCCAAGATTCCCGCTTGGCGCCAGTGGGTTCGCGATCATCCGGTCGACGGGGCGGCCGCGCTTTTGGCCGCCGCTCGGCTTCGCGCTCCGCGGCGCCCCCCTGAGCGCTTTGCAGAATCAGGCGATCTTCTCGCCGCGCCAGCATCTCCTCGGCAGGAGATGGGCCCGTTGTCAGCCGAATGGCGTTGCCTGTGGAAGCTCGATCAAACTGCCCTGACCAGTTGACCCCTGCCCCTTTTCCCAGCGCCATCTGTCAGGCACATGAGAACGGTTCGTCGCTCCTTTTTTGCTCGCTCGGGCATCGGTTTCGGCGGCGCCCCTCCTCGGCAGTTCGATCGTCTCCCCGTCGATGCCATCGAGGTCCTCCATCGAAGCCAAGGGCGCCTGACCGGGCGTCTCAAGCAACATCGTCTTCCTTCTTAGGACGATTGGGGGGCCGCGGCCGACCGACCTTTTTCAGCGCGCGCGGCGCGCGCGCGGGGCCGACTGCGCAGGCCCTTGGCGCGTGCGCCGCAGCGGCGCAAACCTTGGAGTTTTTGGCCGGCCAGGGCTGGGCGCGGCAGACAAGCTGGTCTGGATAGAGCCTGCGAAGACTGAATAGGCCCAGGACCGTGGTTGTGCCGGCGCGCTCGCCCGTCTCGACTTGGAGATGGCCATCGCGCAGACGTGGCATCCGCAGTCGCGAGCGGCAGCGTCTGCGACGCGCGTCCCGCTGCGTCAGTTCAAGTTGCTTGCGCAGTTGCACGGCCTCCGAGCCCGCCCACGCGACGCAGGCAGTCTTGCCTGGTTGTCACTTTGCCACCCCGGTGCTGACATGAATTGCGCTGCAGCCTGTCGACGCCAGCAGTCGCGCCTTCCCGACCGTCGAGAAAAGGGCGGCGGCCATCGGGAAAAGGGCGGCGATGGTCGTTTTTGGGTCGCGGTGGGACAGATCACGCTGCCAGCGCATTGGTTTGCGACCCAGCGCTAGTTCGCCATGTGCTGGCCAAGGTAGAGCCATTGATTTCCGTTTCCAAGAACAAGCAGCTCGCGTCCTGGGTCGATCTGCGGGCGAAGCCGCAAGTTCGCCCCAGGAAGTCGTCAGTCCAGGAGGTCTCGACCGAGCGAGCATTGCTTCGTCCGGAGGCAGCCCGGCAGCCCGTCGAGTCAGATATGAGCGCGGGCCCTCAGCGAAGGCTCGACACGGCAGGCTGCCCTCGTTTGGTGGGCCCCTTAAGCGCGAGCAACTGCGCCGCGTGGCCCAGTCTGCGGCGATGTCGCCTGCGTCGCGCACACGCCAGGTCTTCGGCGCCAGCGACGCGGAGCTGCGTCGTGCGTAATGTCAGCAGGCGCAAGTTTGATG